CGATTCCCAAGACGTCAAGGAGATTCCGATTCCGTGAACGTGTCGTCGAAACTACGATAATTATTCTTTGTTTTGATTTTTTATTCTTAATTCTTCCTTTCCAATGCTCACAAAAATACGTTTCAAGACGATGATAAATAAAAAAGAAAATAGAATTCTATGAACTGGATGTGAGAGTCGACCTCGATTCTAATCTTATAACGGATAACGGAGACTACGATGATGATTTGTTTTTCTTAATTCTTCTTTTCCATTTCTTCCAAAGCCTGATTCAGAATAATAATAATAAAAAAGAAGAAATAAAAAATCAAATTCCTTCAACAGAAAATACGTTTTTTTTCGTTTTTTCCTTTTAACCCTTTCTTTCCCTTTCTCCAAAACCTGATTCAAAACAATAACAAATAAAACAGAAGAAAGAAATAAAAATGCATGTACATATACCTATAAAGGAAAGGGAATCTAATTCTACGAACTCGATGCGAAAGTCGTCTTCGATTCTCTTACCTGAATCCACTCTTATTTCTCCCAAGACGATTATAGAAGACGATCCACAAGATGACGGAGGATTTCTGAGAACATATGTCGCCGGAAGGGAATTCTAAATCGTCTAAACGTCTAAATTTGTCTTTGAAATTCTTCGAGGAAATTGGACAAGACGAACTCCTTGCGGCGACGTGCGAAGGTCGCTTGGGACTATCGATTCGTTTTTTTTTTATCTTTTTATTTTCGCAGTTTCTTGTTTGCCTTTTTTCTTTTCCTCATTTCTTTCTTTTTTATTATTTTTGTTTTCTGTTTCTTTATTTCTTTTTTTTCTCTTTTTTGTGCTTGTAATCCTCCTAAGAAATTATTCCAGTCGAGTCAAGATGTATTTCGTTTTTTTTTTTATTCGGCCTCGAGCGTCAGTGACCAGCGGACTTCAGTGAATCTTAGAGGATTTTCAACAGATTTCTATAGATTTCGCCAGACTTCAGCGGATTTCAGGGATTTGGGCCACTTTGGGTAGGAAATTTCAGAGGAGTTAGGTAAATTCAGTGAACTTCAGCAGACTTAAGGGAACTTAATCGAACTTATGGGAACATTAACGGATTTAAACAAACAAACATCAACAGATTTAAACAAACTTCACGAACTTCAGCAAACTTTGGAGGACTTCATAGGAATTCAGCGCAATTCATCGGAAATAAAAGTACACAGTTAGCATATATAAGCAAGTGATATTTCTAAGCACCTTTTTTTCTTTCTTCTTAATATGAAAACATTTACAAAGGTACTTTCACGGGTTCCTTGAACATACTTGGATATACTTAGCTGGAATAAGTGTCATTCTTCGACAATGGAATATGAAATCGAACAGTTCTACACGATAGAAACAAGAACAGCAATAAAAGGTGTTATTCTTATCATTATCATTATACTATTTTTTTTAGTTTACATGGCAGTGTTCATAAAATTTTTTTATGCTTGGGGAATCATCGATAAATTAAACAGAAGTGTAATATTACGTATGCATTTAGGTAGATATATAAGGTAGGTAGACAGATATATAGATATACAATATAATACGTATAGATAGATTGAGAATGAGATAGATAGAATATGAAATAGAGGTTGACAGATAGGTAGATAGGTAGATATAATGGAAAATAGATAGATAGGTATATAGATAGACAGAATGAAAATTAGATAGAATAGGAAACAGATAGACATAGACAGACAAACATATAGATAGACAGGTAGACAGGTAAACAGACTAAATGGCAGACAGACAGACAGATATAAAGTGGTAAATACAAAGACGCTAACTAACAGCACGAAATGTAGAGTCATGGAAAAATAAATCGGTTTATTGCGATCCGATGAGTCCCAAAAACAGCTGATCACCCCCCCCCTCCCCCATCCCATTTCAGTCACTGACCCGAAGGTCAAATTTCAATTATAATGTCTACCAATTTATCCTTTTCCTTGTCCGGTGGCATGGTCTTGTGTTTATTCTCTTTCTTTATCTGTGTCTTCCTGTTTCTTTGTCTTTGTCTGTCTGTGTGTCTTTCTCTCTCTCTCTCTATCTATCTTTCCTTCCCTCCATCTCCTTCCACCCTTCCCTCCCTTCCCATAGTCTCATCTGCACACCCAACGTACCCTCTCTGCCCCCCCCCCCAGGCGCCCTCCGGCTTCAAGGAATCTTCAAGGTTAATAGGATAACCTTGTATGTCTTCAAGGTCATTTAAGAGGATTTTCTGGAGGGCAAGAAAGTGCGAAGTTGATGGTCTTGCGCACCGTCTCGGGGGGGCAATCTTTAAGGGCAGGCGTTTTCACCCTTAAAGACGTTATTGGATTTTTGCTAAGGGACTAAAAAAACCTTAAGGACTATACGAATTTCAGCTTAAAGGACATGTCATATTAAGACTAAAAAAAGACGAACCTAAAACCCTTAAGGAAGTGTCAGGTGGCTTGTAAGATCCAATTCTCATTCTTGAAGAGTGCAGGCGGAGTTGTTTGAAAAAAAAAAAAAAAAAAAAATTGGACATGGACATGGCATTACAAGACAGGACGGCCTTACGAGTATCAATAGAAGAGAGACAGAGATAGAAATATATATAT